GAGGAGGTGGTGGAGGTGTGGTGGGTGGTGGAGGTGAGGTGGTGATTTATGTTTGAATTTATAGTCCAAATTAACAATCCAACAACAAAATTTGCTATATATATAATAAGAGAACAATACTCAAGAATTGATATATACGTACGTTGATATATTTTAGAATTCATGGTTAACCGAAGATTGGCTGCAAATAACTAACAAGGTTTTGTAACAATAATGATAATGCTAATAATAACAAGGAATCACTCCAACAGTAGCATTATATTTAAAGAGAACTCCAATGACCCAACTAGAAGATCATGCATCCCATTGGTTAATTTTCAGAGCAATTTAATCCCATGGAACATTTTTAATTTTTAATTTGGAAAAAAGAAGAAGAAGAAGAAGAAGAGGGATTTGGTTTGGGGTGGGGTAATTTTCCCCTGGACAACCTTTAGAAGTGTCTGCCCTGACCTTCCATCCTCATCCAATTATTTTATGAACTCTTGATTTGAACATGTATAAATTAAAGAGACTTTGGGATTTAGAAAAATAAAAGCACTTAGTCTACAAAAAATTTCACTTTCTTCGATCTGCTCACCTACAAAATTGCAACATCAACAACTCACAAGTTATATATATGCAAATAACTGTGTCTCCATTTTCATCTCGAACTTCCTCTCATTCAAAAACACAAATAAATAAATAAAACCTAGAGAGAAAAACTGATGTTTTAAGTCTCTTTGACCAATCTCTCTGCCGTCCCGTAGGTCTAAGATTAGCGTCCCCGAAGAATGCGCGTGCTTCTCTTTCAGAAACATGCAGGCCTCTGGATTATAATAGAATTGTGATCCAATCAAGCAACTATTGATCTGGTCACTTATGACGTAATTCATGAAAGTAACATACACTTGTTTTCCTCTTTTTAGTATAAGAGTCACTGTCTTTGTCAAAGGATTGCCAAGCTGACTTTCCTCATTTTCATCTGTTGACTTTCTGCTGCGACTTCATCTACAAAAATCCTGGCCGTGGATTTAGTTGACTTTATTGAGCAACTATCACTTCCATTCGTTGGTCATGAGGGATTTACAAATTGGAACAATTATCCACACTCAAATATTCAATATCTTTTTTGGAAGGGGCTTGCAATTCAAGTGGTAAAGAGCAATTATCCCTGTACCTGAAGCTCTGTGTTCGAATCTCCCTCTCTCAATATCACTTGCATAAAATAAAAAAATATTCAATATATTTTTTTTTCAATCAATAGGGATTCTTTGGCGGGTCTAATTAAGAGGTAAAAAAATTTGCTTTAAAACAAATAATTGAAAATACAAAGTTAAGGCATGCCTTGTCAACAAAATCCTCAATACAAAAACTATGCTTACCTGAAAAATCCATACCACTAACAATCAGATGCCCAACACCAGTTTTCGCACGGTAGAGGAGACCAGGTAAGCATAATTTTTGTATCGAGGATTTTGTTGACAAGGTAGAGGAGACCAGCCTCGAGGGGTCTCTAAGATCTCCCTAATAATTCTCCTATGGAACGTTCTTGGGCTTGACAATCAATAAATGTTCCTACCATGAAGATCTTTCTTCGGAATTTTCTTCAGGCTAAGAGGCCAATCTTCGTCTCCCTTACTTGTCAGCTGGGGTTTTGGATCAAGAAAATTGGAGGTGGCGGTTGGTATTTGGCTGGATCTGCTATGATGCTCACAATACGTTTTTGACTCTGTATGAAGAACTATGATGCTTTCTTTAGATCATAGGAGGCTTTCTTGACAGTATCTGCGTAGTGATGGGATGTGTTTCAATGGTTTTTGCGGCTGGGTGATTGGCTGGATCTATTCTGATACCCATAGTACGTTTTTGACTCTGTACGAAGAACTATGATGCTTTTTCTAGATCATAGGAGGACTTCTTTGATAGTAGCTACGTAGTGATGGGATGTTGTTTTAAGGGTTTTGTGGTTGGGGTTTAGGTTGGTTTGTTTTGTATAAGTTGTTTGACTCTTCTACTTAGTCAATAGCATGAGTGGTACTTTTTCCTACCTCAGGATTTTGTTTCTCTGGGAAGATTTTAACGAGGCCGCCGTTAACATGCTAATTCTTACCATGTAATGTTCGTTTCAATTGAATGAAATACCATCTTTTCTAAATTATTTTTTTTTTTTTTTTTAAAAAAAGTTAAGGCATGGATTAGGAAAGGAGTAATGACTTCTAAAATTGCCTGGTCATGTTGGGGTTTTTTTTTTTTTTTTAAACAAGTTAAGGCATGCATTAGTAAAGGAGTAATGACTTCTAAAATTGCCTGGTCATGTTGGGGTTTTTTTTTTTTTTTTTCTAATTGTAAAACTAAAACCATAATTAAATGCGTTAACTTCTGTTTGGTTGTGGTGGTTCGATTCGGTGGTGCTGGTGGTTGAGCTGGGTATGTGGTGGCTGGTGATGATGGTTCGATTGACTAAATGGGTGATGGTGATGGTGATGGTTTGATTGGGTATGTGGTGGCTGGTTATGGGTTTGATGGTGGTGGTCTGATGATTGTGGCATTGTGGTGATGGTGGTATGTTTGATGTTTCGGGCTCGTGTGTTTGATGGTGGTGGTGGTATTCAGCCGGACTCGCGTGTTCAAAATATCACTGTCGCTATTTTGCGAATTACGTTTCGGGCTCGCTATATTAGACAAGCGAGTCTGATGTTTTTTTCTCCCATTGGACTACACAATCCCATTTAACTTAATCCCCTCCCTTACCAAACATAAGTTTCAAAGATTATTTAACCTAGTCCAGTAAAGCATAGTGACGCATGGCAAATAGGTCCTTAGTGTTATCCATCCAACACACAAGACATTCTTAGTGTAAAATTTGCAATTGAAAGTGAAAGAAAGGGAACTTAGTGGCTCAGTGGATAGCAGACAAATCAAGATTGAGCAAGCCTTAATTTATTTAATTCAAATTAATAAAAACCCATCTCTCTCTCTCTCTCTTTTTTGTTTTGGACTGATTAAATCCCATCTCTTTCTCACCAAAAAAAATTTGAAGTAAGTTGAGCTGAGCCGGTCGAGCCGGCAAGATTGAGGTGGCAAGGATGCTGATATGGTGAAAAAGCAGGGCAGTCAAACTCTGAGAGGAAGCTTTTGAACTGTATGCAGCAGCTGAATCGTAAGTGACACAAACAAAGGCTTCATGTGTTGTGGAGTTTAATCTGTATATGGTTAAAGCTTTGTCCAAAGGCCCTTTTCGCAACAGAGCTTTCACTTTGATGATTTCTACGCGAATTTAAGTGGTCGCTCTCCTGAAGTTCGTAATTGGTTGTCGGGAGCTTCATTTTGCTGCCATGCACTTGTTTTCTCTCATATCTCCACTTTTTTCCATTATACTTTTTTATTTTCAACACTTTCCCAATCCAAGATTTTTATTTTTTATTTTTTTATATTCTCACGGAGGATGAATGTACGTGAGTTTAATTACGTAATACATGTAGATTGCGTATAAAGTTTTAATCAATATGAGAGAAGAGTTTTGAACTTTTTCTTAGTACAAGCGAAGCAATAGTCTAAACTAGATAGAAGGGAGAGGGATTCCTCACACACACACACACCACTATGATGTCGTGAAGATTCGAACTTAAAATTTTTGGTCTGCAAGTCAAAATCTTTTTCACTGAACTAGACTCCATTGGCAAAAGAGTTTTGAACTTAAGATCTCATCAAATATTACAAAGAAAATATTACTAAACTACAAATTGGTTGAGAATTTACGAATGATTATGTATGTAAGATTCATCCTAAACCTCTTTGTACTCACTACTCAAATTGGCCTGCCGTGAGGTTGATCTCATAGCAAAAAAAATGAGGAGTTATTGGATATTAATTTGGTTTTATTAATTCTTGCATTTTACTTATTGTATTGGGAAGCACATGTTGTTTGAGTATATAATCTTGCAGAAAATATCTGTTTTGTTTATTGGTGGTACTTTTATCGAAGTTTGAGGAAAAATGCTTTAATTTATCCTGTATATAATACTAGTTATCTAGACTCCATTGACTGAAGAAAAAGGTACTTGCTAGCTAGACTCCCTCGTACACGTTTTTTTTATCGGATTTTGAAAAAAGATAAGAAAAAATATATATACACGTTTTTTCTGTTATTGATCTTCTCTTTGTACACGTTTTTGGTATGCTTTTGCTATATTATTTAAAAAGATGGAAATGATAAAGGTTATATTATTTAAAAAAAATTATTCAATAAATCAACGAGTACGTCTTCACTGTAAATTCACAATGTATACAAATGATAATCATAAGTCTAATCTTCAATAGAAAAGATGAACATCCAACAAGTAACAAGAGTACTATTCAAAATTAAATACAGGTTTGCATTGTACAACTTTGCAAATGAACATCTAATTTCAGCATTGTTGAAACCCCATTTAACACAAAACTTGTAATATGTGAATTTATTTTGTAGAAAAACTAATTGAACCTAACAATGAGTGGAAAGGAAAGAGTTGTATTTGGTGAACTTATTACCTCATCCAATCCGATTACATCAATCAAACCAAAACGATGTCATGAATTTGAATTGAAGTTTAATTCACTAAAAAATAAAAATAAAAAATAAACTTTTGTTTTCACCAAACCCTGGAATTGTAATTCGAACTTTATTGTTACATCATAATGTTTCTCAAATTTTCTTTCCTTAAATTGTGATTGAAATGGATGCAAAGAATCTTGTGTTGGCCACACGCATTAAGAATCTTGTGTTTCTTAGGGTTGTTTGTTTAGGCTGCTAGGAGAGAGCCTATATAATACATTGAAGTAAAAATAAATAAATAAAAATATATATATATATATATATATATATTAAAATGAAATGATTAACTAAAAAAGATACCCAAAACCCAATTACTTAATTTAATTAAATTAATTAGGGGTTGAAAGTTAAGAATGTTAAAACTTAGGGGGCAGCAGAGCAAAAAGTCTTTAAACATATAATTAATCAAACATGATTAAGACCTGCAGTGTATAAAACCAAACTGAACCTTGGGTTGATGATCAGATAAGCCCATCAATTAGTCGATAATTAAACTCTTAATTATTAGCTTACATACTCCAAACTGTCTCTGGCTCTAGCTCCTTCTTCTCTCCAATCCCTCTTTAAATCTACCATTTCTTCATCACCCAACTAAGACCCATTAACCCAACTCGCATGACCCAGTTGCTATTAAGTTCAGCTATGGCTATGGCCATTGATCAAACATTTGGTGGGCATGCGTTCGATCTGGATTTATCTGGGTGCAGCAGCACCACCACCAACACCATGTCCTCCGATCACTGGTACGACTGGTCGCCGGTGGTCGACTGGGACGCGCTGGCTCCGACG